GTAATTACCTATAAAGGAGCACCCATACAATTGTCAGCTGATTTCTCAACAGAAACCATGCAGGCTAGACGGGAATAGCAAGAAATATTCAAGGTGATGAATAGCAAGAACCTACAGCCAAAAATACTCTACCCAGCAAAGCTATCACTCAGAATCGAAGGCCAGATAAAGAGCTTCACAAATAAAAAAAAGTTAAAAGAGTTCATCATCGCCAAACAAAAATTATATGAATTGCTGAAAGGGGTTCTTTAGGAAGAGGAAAAAAATAAAGATAAAAATTATGAACAACAAATACGTAACTATCAACAAGTGAATCTAAAAACCAAGAGAATTAAAAAAACCTGATGAACAATATTAACTGTTGAATATAATAGAATCAGAGGTATGGAAGGGGAGTGGGGGGTGCAGGAAGAGACTGAACATAAACTGTGCACCTATGGATGAGGACAATGGAGGGTGGAAAAAGGGCAGAGGGTGGGGTGGTAACCTGGTGGAGGGAAAAAAATGAGGAACTTTTGTAATAATATGAAGAATAAAGATTTACTTAAAAAATTATGAACAACAAATATGTAACTATAAACAAGTGAATCTAAAAACCAAGGGAATAAAAAAATCTGATGACCAGTATTAACTGGTGAATATAATAAAATTAGGGGCATAGAATGGGAGTGGATTGATAATTCAAGGGGAAATGGGTGTGGGCGGTGCAGGAAGAGACTGAACAAAAATCGTATACCCGTGGATGAGAACAGGGTCGGGGAGGTAAGGGCAAAGGGTGGGGTAGGAACCTGGTGGAGGGGAGCAATGGAGGGAAAAAAGAGGAACAATTGTAATAATCTGAACAATAAAGATTTATTAAATTAAAAAAAGTGTTGCAAAGCAGTTTGCCACCAGTTACCTCATTTGATCAGCTCTAATAACTAGCACAGTGCTTGGAAAATAGTAGAAAGCGATTATAAATATTTATTAAATTGTATTGAATGATATTATTTTCTGCAGATGAACAAACAGAAGCAATATACAGCGTATCGACTTTATTTTTGAAAAATCCAAATCAGAATTCTACCTACAAGATCTTGTGTTAACGAAATGATACTAGTCTCCTTTTCTGAAGAAATATGGGCACTTCAAAAGGTCCCACTTACCTCTAACAGAGCAGAAACGTATTCCTTATGCTCTAAAATGCAAGGAAGTTGTGGGTAGATCCAGTTCTTGCTTACAATCTCATGTAATGCAGCAGAATAAAGAGATTGCAATTGTGGAAAAGTGAGGTCACACTGGCAAGAGACTTTTGCCGAAGAGAAAAGAATATGCTTGAGAAAGCCTTCAATTTTCAGATTTATGTCAGGTTTCAACACACCTTCCTCAGCAACATCTATAGGATCTTACTATCAGAGCTGGATTTTCTGTGCTTCTGTATTTCTTCAAAAATGTTAAGAAAAATCCACACACTTTCCTTTCCAGACCAAAAAGATCACTAAAAAGTTATATGATTATCTGACTTCTTAACTTGGAATGACAAGGAGATAATTGAAGTCACTTTATAATGGGATTTAAGTTTGCCATGCGTAGACAGGTATTAAGACACCATAAAAAGGGAGCCCTCATGCCCTGCTGGTGGGAATACAGACTGGTGCAGCCACTGTGGAGAACAGTATGGAGTTTTCTCAAAAAATTCAAAATGGAACTCCCCTTTAACCCAATGATCGCACTGCTAGAAATATACCCTAAGAATCCTGAAACACCAATCAGAAAGACTATATATCCCTATGTTCATAGCAGCACTACTTATAATAGCTAATATCTAGAAACAGCACAAGTGCCCATCAGCAGATGAGTGGATAAAAAAAAAACTGTGGTACATTTACACAATGGAATACTATTCTATATAATAAAAACCTAATATGCAAATAGACCAAACAGCAAACAACTAGTTGCTATAATGCTCATTGACCACCAGAGGGCAAATGCTTAATGCAGGAGCTTCCCCCTAGTGGTCAGTGTGCTCCCACAGGGGAGCTCCACTCAGCCAGAAGCTGGGCTCATGGCTGGTGAGCACAGAGGCAGTGGTGGGAGCCTCGTCTGCCTCTGTGGCAGCGCTAAGGACTCTTTGGGGAAACAGGCCTAAGCCAGAAGGTGGACGTCCCCCACCTTCTGTGAGAGGGTGCAGGTCAGGCTGAGGGACACCCCCTCCCCCACCAGTGCACAATCTCGTACACTGGGCCTCTAATACAGGTTAGGAACAAAGAGAATCTTAAAAGCAGTAAGAGAAAAGCAGTTAGTTATCTACAAAGTCACTCCTATGATACTGTCAGCTGATTACAGAAATTTTGAGGCCAGAAGATATTGGCAAGAAATATTCAAAATGATGAAAAGCAAGGACCTACCAACAAGATTACTCTATTCAGCAAAGTAACCATTTAGAATAAAAGCATATATAATGAGTTTTCCAAACAAGAAAAGCTAAAGGAGTTCCCCACCACCAAACCTATATTACAAGAAATCTTAAAGCGTTTTCTTTAAGAAGAAAAGAGATAAAAAGTATAAAGAATAAAATGGCAATGAATACATATTTATCATCAATTACTTTAAATGCAAATGGATTAAGTGCTCTAATCAAAAGACATATGAAGGCTGAACGGGTAACAAAACAAGATCCTTACAATGCAGACGGACTGAAGTAAAGGGATAGAAAAAAGATATTTTATAAAATGGAAACAAGCAAACAAAAAAGCTGGGGTAACAATAATTATACTAGGCAAAATTGATTTTAAAACATGGGCTATATAACAAAAAATAAACAAAGAAAGACCAGTAATTCCAAGTCTGAATATTTATCTGAAGAAACCCAAAACACTAAGTGAAAAAGACATATACATCCATGTGTTCATTACAGCATTATTTACACTAGCCAAGATGTGCATGCAAACTAAGTGTCGATCCATAGAGGAACAACTAAAGAAGTGGAATATGACTCAGCCATATAAAAGAATGAAATATGGCCATTGTGCTGGGTGAAACAAGTCAAAGGAAGACGGATGCCATATGATTTCACTTACATATAGGATCTAAAAACCAAACAAATGAACAAGCAGAACAGAATGTTCATAGATACAGAGGACATTCTGATAGCTGTCAGATGGGAGGAGGGGTGTTTGGAGAAATGGATAAAAAGGTGATGTGATTGAAAAGTAAAGATTGGTAGTTACAGAATAGTCAATAAAGTCAATAATATTGTGATAACTATGTCTGTTGTCAGATGAGTCCTAGATTTATCAAGGTGATCACTTAGTAAGTTACATAATGTCTAAGTACTGTATACCTGAAACTAATATAGTATTATATGTCAACTGTAAATGAAAAGTAAGAAAAGTAATGATTTTTTTAAAATGTCACTCTAAATAAAATTTTTTCATGTTTATATTTTACAAATATAGATCAAAATAAAAATATTATTATATGTCTGATTTAAAAGAGAAGAAATTCCTCTTTGTTTTGTTTTTTTTAGGATAATTTAGAATTACAACTAACCCTAAAAAAAGCTTTCTGGGAAATCACATAATACATATTTTAGGAATTTCAAAAGAAAATAATAAGCATTTCAAATCTTTATTGAACAACACTGAACAGGTGAAAAACACATTTATTAAACACATCACTGTTGTCAACATTAAATCATGAAATGATCACATATTCATTTATTATACATTTATTTTTATTTAAAATATAAAATATATTGAATTCTGACAGGATCTTTCAAAACAAATCTTTTAGTTTTAAACTTTAGGAGACATTTATTCAAAATATTAAAAATTATTATAAATTATTTTTAAAAAATAATTTCACAATACCTGTGTTCAGCTTTATAGTCCCTTGGCTAATTCATACATACACAAGACAGAAGACTGTAGATTATAAAGATATAATTTTAAAATATTAACTTTTTTACAAGGGTGTATTTTATATTTAATGTTACCTATCAATATGCAAGTTTAACTGTATTGCTTCTTAACCAACATTTCTCTTAGCATCTTCTTTGGAAGTTTATTAATCTTATTGTTAATATATAACATTAAATAATATATTTATGGATAAAATAAAGGACTGGACTAAATGCAAAAATAAATTGCAACACAGATGTTTTTGGCCTCATGCCTAAAGTAACAGAATATTAAAAAAAATAATAATTTTGCTTTCAATCACTGATAGGGAAGGGAAAAGAAAGAACATGTAGTCTAAGGTAGCACTTTTCATTTTATTTGAGGGTAGGACAGAAGTCTAGAAATGGTCAAGAAATACTTTCTTTTTTTAGTATATTTTATTGATTTTTTTATAGAGAGAAAGTTGAGAGGGATAGAAAGTTAGAAACATCGATGAGAGAGAGACATCGATCAGCTGCCTCCTGCACACCCCCTATTGGGAATGTGCCCGCAGCCAAGGTACATGCCCTTGACTGGAATCAAACCTGGGACCTTTCAGTCCGCAGAGTGACACTCTACCACTGAGCCAAACCGGTTTCAGCAAGAAGTACTTTCTTACAGGTCAGTGGAGTGGGGGAGGGGACATATGTAATACTTTCAACCATAAAGATTAAAAATAATAAGAAGTCATTTCTGATTAATTGTAAAATACTCGAGGATAGAAACTGTGTTAGTAACTATCTTTTCTTGTCATTCTTCAGGCCCTAAAATGATGCCTTAAAAACAATAGGCATGTAACACCATGTGATTGCTTGGCCAGATGATTCGAAATGCTCTTAACATTACTTTGGAACAAGAACATGGTTGGGAATAGTAGTTAGAAACATACCAAGTACTTAATGGTGTCCATACAATAAGATGATAAAATACATTTACCCGTTTTTCTCGTTGGCATCCTTCTACACAGTCTTTTAACAGTATACTTAACACAGTTATAACACAACATTCTCTTCCAGTAACATGGGTTGTACCAACTACAGCGATGACAATTTCTTTTAACTGTCAAGGAGTCAGACTTACCAGATGCAGTGATGGTCGCCACTAAAGAAGAAGGAAATTAAAAAAGATCACTAAAGTCATTTATTTGCTACAAATTTAATATATTTATAAACTGTACTTGAAAGTTCAAAAGTAACTCAGATTTTCATAACTAAAATAAATAATTATAAATAAATTTATGAAAATAATTACAAATTATGAACAATCAAAATACACACCAGTCCCTATTTCTATTCAGCAAGTTAACTCATGTTATAACTCATGTTATAAACAGTAAACATGAGTTACTGCACAGCAAAACAAACAAACAAACAAACAAACAACAAAAACAAAACAAAACAAACAAGACAACAAAATAAAGAGGCATCCAACCAAGTGGAAGATATTTGCAAACAATAACTCCAGTAAAGGTTTAATATTTAAGATATATATTTTTAAAAACCCATAAAACTCAATACCAAACAAACAAACAAAAAATCCCAATAAAAAATGGGCAGAGGATCTGAATGGACACTTCCTCCAAGAAAACATACCAACAGCCAACAGATATATGAAAATATGTTCAACCTCACTAACAATTAGAGAAATGCAAATCAAAATTACAATGAGATGCCACTTCACACCTGTTAGAATGGCTATTACCAACACGACAAGTAATAACAAGTGCCGGAGAAAAGGGACCCTCATTCACCGCTGGTGGGAATGTACACAGTACAGACACTATGGAAAACAGCATGGCAGTTCCTCAAAAAATTAAGACTAGAGCTGCCATATGACCCAGCAATCTTTCTCCCGGGTGTATATGAAACTCAAAAACATGTATGCATTTTTTATTTATTGCAACATTATTCACAGTGGGCAAGTCATAGAGATAGCCAACGTGTCAAAGACTGAATAAAGAACACGTGGTACATATACATAATGGAAGATTACTCAGCCATAAAAACAATGAAATACTGCCATCTGTGATGACATGCATGAATCTTGAGAATATTGTGCTAAGTGAAATAAGTCAGGCAGAAAAAAACTGAGATCCGTATGATTTCGCTCAGATGTGGGATATTAATCTGATACTCAAGAACACAAACAGCAGTGTGGTGGTTGCCAGACCAAAGGGTGTGGGTGGGGTGAAGGGAGCCTAATATATGGTGATGGCATGTGATTTGACACTGGGTGGTGGGCACACAGTGCAATACACAGATCATGTAACAGGAATCCTCACCTGAAACCTATACGATCCTATTAAACAATGTCACCTCAATAAATTTAATTTAAAAAAATTATTAAACCACACATGTATGATTTCTTCATGGGTGTTAACCTCAATAAAAATGTTAAAGTAATGTTTTTTAAATTTATCTCCTGGCTCAGTTCTATTGAGATTGTCCAAGGAACAACATAAAATAAAATAGAATAAAATAGGTATCCCTACGGAGAAGAATGCGTATAAAAATGGCTGTCCTTTAGGCGAGCTGTGGGGCAAGAAGACAGCCGATGGTCCAAAGAGGCAGTGATTAGCAGATGGGCTTCATGTGGTCACTCAACAAGCAGGTCTAAAGCCTACAGCACACTTCTTCAGTGCCTCTGCTCACGGAGCCCTGCATTCATGTGCGCTATGCCCAAGCCCTGTGCTCCCAGTTCCTTACATACTGCTGAGGGGCAGCGCTGGGGAACCTGGAGATCTGTCTGCGTGCGGGAGGGATGGGTCTCTCAATGAACCAGACCTGGAAACCAACCTCAAGGATGGCACATGTTTGGTTCTCTGAAGAGTCTTGAGAAATTCAACGACTCCCTAAAGCTAATAGAGAAACAGAATTTTTTCACCAACTTTGACCCAGCATTGTTTTTATGGGGCCACCCTTTTCTCTATTATTGCAAAGCTGTTTCCTTTGTAAAAGATTTGCCCCACTGCAATCCAACTCTGCCTCTGAAGAAAGTCCCCAACGTTAGAATGCAGACAACCCTGACTACAATCCCAGAGTATGGAACCACACAATCCTGGTCCCGTAGACATTTCCCCCATCACACATAGACCCACGTGTACCCTGGGACCGAGCAGGGTCAGCTCACCTGCCGGAAGGAGTCTGCTTCCTTTAGAGGTGCTAGGTGGCGTGAAAACAGTTCGATTCTGTGTTGCTGCAATATGAGCAGAGGTCAATCTTTGGGCTGTCTGGGGACCCTCAGTCACTGGGGCATGTGCAGTAGAGAATGTTTGTGTTTCTGGAAGACTCTGTGCATGTGAGGCTTTTGCTGTTGTGAGGCTCTGGGGTTCTGGAGTGGCTTGTGTAGCAGGAGAATCTGTCAGGAGGAGAGTCTGGACTGTCAGCCGGGGCTCTGTAGATAGAGCCTTTGAGAGAGGAGATGTGTTGGCTGTTGCGGCTGAGTCACTGGCTGTGACGGGTTTCTGAGAAGGTGGCGGGGCATCCATAGCTAGGACAGGTGAGGTGGGGTTCTGAGGAACTAGGAGGGCTTTTGTAGTTGAAGAACTTCTTGTAGTGAGATTCTGAAGAGCTGGTGTGCCTTCCGTGTCTGGAACGTTTGCTGTGGTGGGATGTGGAGGGGTGGGCGGGGACTTTGGAGCTGGAACATTCACTGTGGTGGGTTTTGGAGGAGCTGACGGGGCTTTGGTACCTTGGGCATCCGTTGTGGTGGGTGTCTGAAGAGTTGTAGGAATTTCTGTGAAGGAAAACGTTTTTAAAACGTTAGCAAAGGAATGCTCTTAAGACTTAGGAACCAATTTCTAACTCAATGACTTCTCTTTCTCACCCCACAAACACCTAAATATGACATTTAGTAATCCAAGCCTTGAGTATTTCCCAAGGATCTAAATGCTACACTGTTTTTGCTTCAACATAAATTATACCTACAGGCAATTAAGTACACCAAAGCAGTACTGAGGTACTTAAACTGCTCTCTGCGTGGAGAAAGGAAACCAAAGTCTGAGCTGGCAGTGACCTCCTTCTGTGACACCCAGACAAAGACACTTTCTCTCTTACATCGTCTTCCTTTGCTCACACCGAGACCAAAGAGCAGCAGGATGCAAACACCGGACCGAAAGAGATCATCATGGCCGAGACTATCTCTGAGTTGTTTCCTGCAGCTCTCCGGACATGGTAGTGACCTTGAAACGTCTCTTGTTTCACTTCTTTTTTAAAGGAATAAAGTCAGACAGAAGAAAGCAACTCCCCTTGTTTCTCTTGTGCTGGTTACCAACTTTACGCACATTAGATTATTCCTCTTTTATTTTAGGTGAGCTAACAGATGTCTGTACAACTTCAGTTAAGATCTTATTCTTGAGAATCACAAATAACAACAGAGTAAAATTTTAGGTCTTCAAGACCATTTAACTGTTTGTTTTATAAATATATTTTTGATAGTATTACAGACATCTCCTATTTTCTCCTCCTTCCCCCTCCTCCCGACCCCGCCATCTCCCCAGCTCTTTACCACTCTATTGCCCGTGGCCATGGGCTAAGCATGTAAGTTTGTGGTTTATCTCTTCTTGTCCCCAAATCCCACATCGAGGTATGTCATCTGTCCCAGGCTTCCCTGCCTCCAGGCTTCCCTCCCTCCCGTCCTATGTTGCTGGCCAATTCCTGTTGTTCATTAGATTCCACAAATAAGTGAGCTCCTGTGTATTTGGCTTTCTCCCTTTGGCTTACTTCACTTAGCATAATATTTTCCAGATTGCTATGCAAACGCCTCGCCCTCTTAAGGGGGTACTGAAGAGTGCTCAGGCCCGTGTCAGCGCATCCTAGAGACCGAGTTCTCTGCTCCCGCTGAACTTCGGGTTCCTGGCACATAAATGAGGGGAAACAGAGCAGCTGTGTGACCTCTCTGTAAGGTCGGGGAAGAATTTGGGTAAGTTATGTCACATAGTCGGCCTCTGAAGCCACATCTTATGTCATCCAGCACGACTACCGCCAACAGCCTCAGCACACACCCTGTTCTAGGCGCGGAGACACTGTGTCTGTATCGCTACACCCTCTCCCTGCCTCACAGGATGCTGCTTGGAGGGGGGTGGGGGGGAGGGGGGCTCCTGCCTGCAGGCCGTGTGAGGCCCAGGAAATGATTTGGTCTGGCCCTGCCAAGGCATTAGGGTGAGTTAATTCAGCGTTTGACCAAATACAGCAGGCTCATTTTAAAGCTGATAATGTTTTTTTTTTTGTTTGTTTGTTTTTTTGCTACCACTATTTATTTATTTTTATTTTTACATTTTTTTATTAAATTATTATCTGTGTACATATTTTAACATTGTCCCCCTCCCATACACACCCTCCCTCCCCAGAGTTCTGCGTCCATTGGTTGTACTTATATGCACGTATACAAGTCCTTTGGTTGATCTCTTATCTCCCGCAGATCTCCCTACCCTCCCGCTGTCATTTGACAGTCTGCTTGTTGCTTTACTGTCTCTATATCCATCTTTTGGTTCATCAGTTTAAGAAACCATCAACAAAACAAGAAAGCCCACTGTGTGGGAGAACATATTTGCAAATGTTACCACTGATAAAGGTTTAATCTCCAACATCTACAGACAGCTTATACAACTAAATAAAAGGAAGATGAATGATCCAATTAAAAAATGGGCAATGGAATTAAATAGAATATTTTCAAAAGAAGACAGAAGGAAGGCCAAAAGGCACATGAAAACATGCTCAAAGTCACTAATTATCCGAGAGATGCAAATCAAAACAACAATGTGGTACCATCTCACCCCTGTCAGAATGGCCAACATCAACAAATCAACAAACGACAAGTGTTGGCGAGGTTTCGGAGAAAATGGAACCCTCGTGCACTGCTTGTGGGAATGCAGACTGGTGCAACCACTGTGGAGAACAGTATGGAGTTTCCTCAAATAAATGAAAATGGAACTTCCATTTGACTCAGTAATCCCACTCCTAGGAATATATCCCAAGAAACTAGAAACACCAATCAGAAAGCATATATGCACCCCTATGTTCATAGCAGCACAATCTACAATAGCCAGAATTTGGAAACAGCCTAGGTGCCTGTCAGAAGGTGATTGGATCTAAAAACTATGGTACATCTACACAATGGAATACTATGCTGCCATAAAAAAGAAGGAATTCTCATCATTTGCAGCAACCTGGATGGAATTGGAGCACATCATGCTGAGTGAAATAAGCCAGTCAATGAAAGAGAAACACCACATGACCTCACTCATTTATGAATAATAAAGAACATTAAAGCTGATAATGTTGTGAGGCCCATGAATAATATTATAAATATGCAAATGACCCTTGGCAGTAAAACGTCCCCCACCCTGCCAGGGATAACAAGTAAAATACATAGCAGGTGACACGGCTCCCAGCAGGCACTCAGAAAGTGATAGGCTTTATTATTAGGGTAAGTAAAGTTTCCACGTGGTCTTCTCATCTAAGGCCATCAGATGTACAATTTGTTTTGTTCTTCCAAGTTCTCATTTTTGATCAAAGGACTTTGTAGTACTGCAGTCTAAGTCTCCTGGAAGTGACTTTTCTAGTTCTCTTTTTATTGGATGTCTACTTTCACTCCACAAGGTCAGAAAGCATGCTCTGAGTAACTTCAGTCTTCTTTTTAAAAAATTTTTAATTTATTTTTTATTTTTTAAAATATATATTTTATTGATTTTATACAGAGAGGAAGGGAGAGAAATAGAGAGCTAGAAACATCGATGAGAGAGAGTCATCGATCAGCTGCCTCTTGCACACCCCCCACGGGGGATATGCCCACAACCAAGGTACATGCCCTTGACCGGAATCGAACCCAGGACCTTTCAGTCTCCAAGCCGGCGCTCTATCCACTGAGCCAAACCTGTCCCGGCAACTTCAGTCTTCTTAAACGCAGGGTGTTTAGAGCCCGGGATATTGTCAATACTCCATGTATATTTTAAAACAACACTTTTAGGGCTCGATACTCTTATCAGTTACTTTTTTAAAGTTTATTGTTGGTCGTGTCTTCTATATTCTGACTTTTGGTTACTTATTGAGAGAAAGATGTGGAATTCTCAAACAATAATTGTGGAGTTGTCTATTTTTTTTTTTCCTCCCCATCTCTGCTATAGATAGACTGAAGCGAGTTTTCAAGGGCACATAGAGTTCAGATTGGGACATACTCCGGTGGAACTGACCTTTTTATGATGATTAACTGGTTTATCTTAAAGTGTGCTTGGATACTAATGGAAATTTTTATTTTCTGGTAACTGTTTGCGTAGCATATTTTTTCCATCCTTAACTTTCATCTGTTCAGTTTTCTGATCATTAAACTGCAGCTCTTATAAATAGCAAATAGTTAACTTTTATTTTATTAATCTAGTCTGACAATGTTAGTCAAGTCACAATGTATCAGTTAATTATATCTACATTGTGATTGTAATATATCTACATTTATTTGGATCGAACATATTACTATCAGTATTCTACTCCATCCATTTTTTTTGTTCCCTTTGTGAATTGATAGAGAGAGAGAGAGAGAGAGAGAGAGAGAGAGAGAGAGAGAGAGACATAGATTTGTTGTTGCACTTATTAACACATTCATTGGTTGATTTGTGTATGTACCCTGCCTGGGGATCAAACCTGCAACCTTGGAATATCTGGATGATGCTCTAATCAACTGAGCTATCTGGCCAGGACTTATTTTATGTTTCTTTTTGTCACTCTTTCGTTCTTGTTGCTTTTTGGATTAAATATTCCTTATAATTCCTTTGTTAGTTTGTAATTTTTATATTCTTTTATTACTATTCTCAAGACAACCCTAGAGATTACAGTATTAGACTGTAAGTCAGTTAGGCAGATTAACTCTCTGACCACTTTTTAGTACTGTAGGAACCTGGGAACCTTTACATTGAAGTTACCCTTCTTGTCTGTTGGTTTATTGCTATTGTATGTCTGTATCCTACATACAATTCAAATCCCACAAGATGCTGCATTTCTTCTTTCAGTATTCATTTACCCTTGTCAGTGTTCTTCATATTCTCTTGTATTTTCATTTTTTGCAACTTCGTGTTTTTATTATTTGTTTGAGTTTCCAACTAATCTTAAAATTTATATGGCATCACAAAAGACCCAAAATAACCAAAGAAATTTTGAGAAAGAACAAGGTGGGAGGTATCACATTCTCTGATATAAAACTATACTATAAATCCTATATAATAAAGGCTAATATGCAAATAGACTGAACTGAGGAACAGCCCATTGTTATGACACGCACTAACCATAAGGGGGCAGATGCTTAATGCAGGAGCTGCCCTGCTCAGCCAGAAGCTGGGCTCACAGCTGGCGAGCACAGCGGTAGTGTCAGGAGCCTCATCCACCTCTGAGACAGCACTAAGGATGTCTGACTACTGGCTTAGGCCCACTTCTGCAGGAAACAGGCCTAAGCCGCCAGTCAGATATCTCCCAAGGGCTGAGGGAACACCCTGAGTGCACAGATTTCTTACACCAGGCATATAGCTATAATAACCAAACAATATGTTCTGGCCTAAAAACAGATATATAGAATGATGGAATAAAATGGAGAGCCCAAAAGTAAATCCTCATTAATACAGTGAATTAATTTACAAAAAGGAGGCAAAGATATACAATTGGTTAAACACAGTCTGTTCATTTTGTATAGGTTCATTTTCTAGATCCAGAGACATAGAAGCATGGAATGACTGTTAAATCTCAGAGGAAAGGCTGGGCTGGGCAGGTGGATGGGAAAAGATCAACCAAAGAACTTGTATGCATATATGCACGACCCATGGACAGACAATAGGGTGGCGAAGGCCTTGGGGGAAGGGATAGGGGGGGACTAGACGAGGTCAATAGGGAAAAAATGGGGCATGTGTAATGCTTTCAACAATAAAGATTAAAACTAAGTAAAATAAAGGCAGTCTGTTCAATAGTGCTATATGGAAATATGAGCAGATACATGCAAAAAATAATAATAAAACTGGGCCATGTGTTTACATCATATACAAAATAAACTCAAGGCAGATTAAAGACTTATGTATAGGACTTGAAACTACAAGACTTACAGGACAAACCATAAGCAGTGAACTTTTGACACTGTTCTTAACAATATCTTTTTGGATATACCTCCTTAGGCAAGGGAACCAAAACAAAACAAAACAAAACAATAAAGCAAATATGGCTACATCAAACTAAAATATTGTTGTACAGCAAAGGAAACTATCATCAAAATAAAAAGACAACCAGTGAATGGGAGAAGATACCAGCAATTGATACATCCAATAAGGGTTTAATACTCAAAAATACATTATAAACTCATACAACTTAACACCAAAAAAACAAACAATCCAACTGAATAATAGGCAAAGGACCTGGATAGAAACCTCTCTAAAGCGGATATACAGATCCCCAACATACATGTAAAATGATGCTCAACCTCACCCATATGACTGTCAACTAATTTCTCAACAGAAACTATGCAGGCCAGATGGGAGTGGCAAGAAATATTCGAAGTGATGAACAGCAAAAACCTACAACCAAGATTACTCTACCCAGCAAAGCTATCATTTAGAATTGAAGGTCAGTTAAAGAGCTTCACAGACAAGAAAAAGCTAAAGGAATTCATCACCACCAAACCAGGATTACATGAAATGCTTAAGGGTATTCTTTAAAAAGAGGAAGAAGAAGAAAAAAGTAAAGATAAAAATTATGAACAACAAAGTGACAACAAATACATATCTATCAACAAGTGAATCTAAAAATCAAGTGAAATAGAGGGAGAATCCAAGATGGCTGCACAGGTAAATACCTAGCCGCAGCTGCACACAACAATTTCAATAAAATACAACTAAAATATAAAATGGACATTACCCAGAACTACAGGGAAGTCGACTGACTGGAAATTCTACAATGAGAAGCAAGGAGAAAACCAGAAGGAAGAGCGGAGGAGCTGTAAAAGCCTAAGGTACGGAGACACGCGGCGCGCGTGGAGAGGAAGGAGCTGGAGAGGTGGGGCGGCTGAGTGCCTGTTGGCGTTCCCTAGCGGGAAGGCCTGCACACCTAGGCCCCATTATAACCCTATGAAACCATCATCGTAAGTGCAGCCCACCATTGACTGGAATGCCATTAGCAGCACAGGACTGCAATAAGGTTTAGAACACACGTGTAAAACAAAAACTACGGTTAACTTTGCGTGCGTTATCTATCAAAGAGGGTCTGGAAAAGTAAAGGTGTTCAGGGGCCAAAAACCAGGACAGAGACTTCAGGGAGTAAATGGGACTTGAGTTTAAACCTAAGGTGTACCCTTATTCTAAGACAGAATTGAGAAAAAGGCATTGCTGTCATTCCCTGGGGAAATGTGATCAAATGAGAGACACTGTGCATTCCAATAGCATACTTGGGAAATAGGAATAGATCATCGAAATAGACCAAAAGATCTTAAAAGTCCCACTTTGACTTTGACATTAGGATACAAATCTTGAAGCATGTACTGACTCACAGCCTTTTATTTAAAGCAAATCTTATCGAGCAGCTGAGTTTGTGAAACATATCTAGGCAGAATTACTCTATTATATCATAAGCAGAGGCCTGCCCCTAGCATCTGCCCCAACAAAAGTTTCAGCGATTCCACATTCTATAAAGCCATGATGTTGTTCCTCTCTTTTATTTAAGCAGGAAAGTAATGTGAACCCATGTGGACATCAAATTATGTTACACCAAATGTCCTTATGAACCCAGAGAATACTAACAACGTTATAAATTCCTTTTAGGCCATTAATCAAAGCAAGGAGCAAATCAGGAGTAATCTGATTTACACTAGGCTAAGGTATGTGATTACCACCGTGTCACATCAGTTCAGTTCACACATTTCCTGAGCACCTAATACACACCAAGCATTGTGCATATAGAAGTACAAAACAGAATAAGATATCATTCCTATGTCTTCAAATATTGTAGGGAAAGAGCTATAAAGATATAATTTCAGTACAAAGTGGAGAGGGTTAACAGAAACGCATGCACAGCGGTGTGGAAAGAGAGGACAGTTAATCAGCTTGGAAGGTCGCACAAAGCTTCTGGGAGGACAATCGGAGCAGACCCACACCAAGAAGGAAAAACCACACCCAATCAATCAAGCAAAGAAGGGACATATCAGCAGAGTGAGCAGTTTAAGGAATGATGTGGGGACGTGAAGAGCATGAGGTACACAGGAAACCACTGTAGTCTGCGTGGGTAGAGCATAAGCACGAGGGCCCGAATGAGGGAGGAGAAGGAGGTAGACCGTGGCCAGCCTGTACATTATACCAAGACGTTTGGACTTTGAAAGTGACGAGGAGACACTAATAAGCTATGCTGAGGAGCACGTGGGACCCGGTTGGAAAGTTTGTAAGGAGGACATTCGAGAAAAGGGAAGTGTGCTGAAGGCGGCCATTTATGGCACCCCTAATTATTCCTTGACAGTTCCAAACAAGTCTGTGCACGTGCAGACCCCGGTGTTTACAGGAATCTTTATGCTTAATCTTTGGGTGTCCTTGCTTAAAGGACACTGCAAACACGTGTGTTCTCCCAAGATTACTTACTCTACTAATTGTATCTAAAAGATAAACTCTATCTCAAACTACTGTCACAATAAAAGCATAACAAGGCGGGTGATGGAGGCTGTCTGGTTCCTTCGGCCAGGCAGTCCCTGAGCTCTCTCTTTCACAGCCATCCTGGGTCAGAGTAATCATTCACCTGTCACTCAGGGTCCGCTGGCCAGCCCCAACAAGCTATCCGAAGGAAAGACAAGTCATGTTGGTGTTTCAGATGGATAACTCTGGGTAGAGTGTAGATGAAATAGAAATAAAATACGAGAATGAAGGCCATTGCAATCAGTATAACCTTTGAACTCAGGCACATGGAGCGCCTCCCTAGCTCCCACACCTTAAAGGGCGATGCTCGGCCCTCCTCTGGGGGTGCCTCTCTCCACTAGATGGGAATTTTCAGGGCTGACAGGACTAGCCCATTGAGGGCTCCTCTCCCACCCTATTTTCTCTGACTGGTGGGAGGAATGGCAAGATAATAAATGACCAACCACGACACAAATTTTAGTTTGTTTTTAATGCTTTATCTCCAAAGGTAATAAATTAAGGAGAATCCTATCTAATAAAGAGGGAAAATGCTAATTGACCATCACTCCATCACAAAGACGGCTGCACCCACAGCTGAGGCCAAGTTCCCATAAGGAGCCTTAATGAGCAACCAGCAGGAACCTGAGGCTACATCCTCCCTCACCCCTGTGGGGCTTCGCAGGGGATTCAGGACATGCACCCCACTCTGGTGTCAGGCTGGGGGACCTCAGACTGCACCCCCTGCCCCAGAGCCAGGCCAGGGGACCTGAGTCAATGGCCCCTGGCAGGGCTTGACGGGGGACCTCAAGGTGAGCTTCCTGTCCTGGTGCTGTGTGCTAAGGGACCGCAGGCTGCTGCCCCAGCACCAGGCCGGGGTACCTCAGGCCACACCCTCCACCCAGCAGGGCTTGATGAGGGACCTCAAAGTGCACCCCGAGTGCTGGGTTGGAAGAACTCAGGCCGTGCCCCCACCCAGCGGGGCTTGACAGGGGACCTGAGGCTGCATCCCCCTTCTGGTGCTGGGCCAGGGAACCTGAGGCTGCACGCCCCCTGCCTGGTGGGGCTGTCGGGGGTCCTCAGGCCATGCCCTCCACCCAGCAGGGCTTACAGGAGATCTCGGGCCGTGTACCCACTTGGCGGGGCTTAATGGAGGACCTCAAGGCACACTCCCGCCCGGGTCTGGGCTGGGGGACCTCAGGCCATGCCCCCCATCCTGTTGCTGGGCCAGGGGATCTCATCGAGTACACCCTCTTTCTGACAGGGCTTGACAAGGGTGGGACCAGTGGGGTCTGGATCTAGTCCAATGGCGGGGGTGGCTGGGTCTGGGTCTCACGGGATTTTGAGGTGCATGTGGGTGGACAGGGACTGGACTCTGGGTCCCATGGTGAGCCCCCGACTCTGACAGGAGAAAGGTTTTCATATACATTTTACTAATTTTCTTTCATCTCTGACACTTCTATTATAGAGAAAGGTCAAATAGCAATATTAAATTATTTTCTCTAATTAATCCCCTTGGAATGTGCACGAATTTCACGAACCAGTTCACTAGTTACAAATAAAGGTCTTTAAATTCGCTCAGACACAGAAGGTAAGGGTACTACAAATATACACTGTGAATAATTCTTAATGCACAAAAAGTAATTTGTCATTGATAATTTAGCCCCACAATGTGAGTGCTTAGATTCTTTTAGTCTTACCTTGGCACTTTGGAAATGGATCATCCCAAATCATATCATTTCCTTCATAATAACAGGAAGTAGAAGTTTTACCAACTAATTTGTACCTAAACAATGAGGACAAAAAAAGTTGGGTTCTCTTAAATTCTCAAGAATATCATCTTAAAATATTCAATAGATTAGTAGATGGAGATAAAACAATAGTTGATAAAAGTTTGTATGGTAGTTTTTTAAAAAAGAAAAAATTAAATTAAAAAAGGTGACATCCAAAGGATAAATTATTATAAAACATGCAAAACATTTCTTATTTGGGTGGGTCACATTTTAGAAAATATCAAAGTGTTTTAAAAGATTTTAAAATTATATTGATGCTTGAATATTTTCTATTTCTGAGTTCTCAAAGATCAATGCAGGCTTCATAGAATAATAGAATACACTTACACTTAAAGGGTTCAAAGTACTCCCAGATTTTATATTAATAATCTAAATATCGGTGTTTAGTACAGGAGATAAGTGATACTGATATTATTTTATAAAAAATGGACATACACGCAGAGTAAAATTTGCAGATATTAAATGAGAAAATTTGCAGATATTAAATGAAAAAATGAATATGAAGTTTTCAGCAGGATCTGAGACACTGACAATACTCAATGAGTGAGGCCCTTTTCTCTACATAAAGAACTTATAAAAGACCTTGGGTCAGAGATCTTGTAACACTAAGACTACATGTTTTTAACCTAAGAAGTTTTATTACAGATTGTTTGCATATAAAGTACATATTACCATGATCTCACTCATTTGTGGACTATAATGAACAACCTAAACTGATGAACAAAAACAGATCCAGAGACAGAGAAGCATTAATCAGACCTCAGAGGGAAGATAGGGGAGGGTGGGGGTAAGAGGGAGAGATCAACCAAAGGCCTTGCCTGCAGGCATATAACCTGACCAATGGCCACAGCCACCAGGGGAGTGAGGACATGAGTTGGGGAGCTGGAGGGAGAGTGGGGGGGATAAGGACACATATTAATACCTTAATCAATCAATAAAAATAAATAAATACATGCTAAAAAACTTATGAAAATGTATTATTTAGGTAAATTAAAGACTGGTTTCATTTAACTCTTGGATTTAATTTCTGCAAGTAATTTCCTTTACTAATGACATTAAAATTTTTATATTGAACCATATGTACTCACACCTAAGAATTCCAAGGATTTGGTGGTATGAAACATCCTCCTTTCTTAGCCCGTTTTACTGCGTTTCACTTTGATAAGCTCATGAGGAAAAGCTTTGAGCAGAGGGACTGCTTTATTGCTACTGGCTTTGAACACATTTCTAAAATCTCCATCTTAAATTCTAACTTGTGTTTTCGCTTGTTTAACAGAGAGTGGTTAGTATGCAAAACTTACCCTGGGTCACATGAGAAGTAGATGTATGAGGTGAATAATATGTCAGTTGGTATACTGATATGACCATTTTCTATTTTTCCAGGATCAGGACATGATCTTTCTAGAAGACAGTAGAAAAAATTTTAAATTAAGTTATTAGGCACATCTATGCAAATTCATCATCTGAACCACTGGTAATCTCTTATCCTGAGACTGATTAAATCCCACAGTCATTTTATAAGTTTCAAAGAAGCAGCCTATTTAGGAATATATACTTCTTTTATTTCATGTAAGGTAATCTTAAACTAATTAAATGTGAAGTCTGTGCATCAATTACTATTCCTCTCTCTCTCAGGCATTTAGTGTGCCTGATTATAATAGAACTAGAGGCCAGGTGCACGAAGGTAGTGCACGGGTAGGGTCCCTAGCCCAGGCTGGCGATCAGGGCCTTCGGCTGCTGGTTGGGGCCTTCCTTCATTCTGAGCCACCCCCTGGTGGTCAGCACATGTTATAGCAAACGAGCGAACTCCCGGTCAAACTCCCGAGGGGACACTTTGCATATTAGCCTTTTATATACATAGATGACTCTAATCATTCTTTTTAAAAAAAATCATTCCAAATAATAATGTGTACACACAGACTTCCAGCATGAATAAAGGATTAAATACTATTTCCCTAAATACCATACGTTTAAGAAAATTCTTTAAAATTATACTCACTGTAGCAAAATACTTCTGGTTTGCTCCATGTATAATTCTGAAGGCAAGTTACGTTTGCTGATATGGAATGGTTCCTTGCGTAGCCCGGATTACACTCATATTCCACAACGAAACCCGCTGGGTGATAACTCACTGGGATGTAAATATCTTTCTTATGTCCATAAAGTACACTGGGTGTAATCCCACAGCTACCTAAAAGCATTACCAAACCAACAACAACAAAGAGTAATATCACTTTGTTTCATAACCTATGTTTAATTATCAGAACCACCTGTCTTCACATTCCCTCCTTTGCACACATTTGGCACTCAGCTGTGTGAGTATCAATAGGGCATTTGTAGGGTATCAAGCATATTGAAATGTATGCTTTTGTCTCCTAGTGGCCAGAGGCCTGTGAAGTGGACTGGGGACATGGTGTCACCAGGCCCAGCATTGGAAGAATATAACCCGTTGATGTTGCCTGTCGCAGCTCACTGCACGGGGCTCTCTTGCCCTGCCTGCCCCATGGAGCACCGGGGTTGGTGAATGTTCCCACCCCCCTGGGCTAATGTCGGGGACATTGACAGCTACAGTAACAAACAATAGCTCATGTTTATGGGTGCTTCTAAACGTTTTCTGCAAGCAAACTCATCCAACCCCTCAGCAGCTCAGAGGAGCGGATGTGTACACTCCAGCATCCACAGACTTGAGCCACCCGGGCAAACAGGAACTGATGGAGGCACGAGGCCCTGGCTTTATTGTCCAAACACGCAAGTTTGAGCCTGGGCTCTTCTGCATAAGAGCTTTGGATCTCAAGGGAGTTAACTTTTCAGGACCTTTTCCTCAGCTGTGAAATGATGGCTTGTCTGGAGGATTAAGGAAGTAATAGAGGTGGCAGCGTTACAAACTCTGTGACAGGATACATGTGTAAAGGCTTAGCACTTCCACCTATTGCCTTCTACCACAGATAAGTTTTTAAAAAAAGTTAAACCCATTAAAAAAAAACCCCAAAACTTGTGGTGGCAGTTTCTTTGTATACTGTCGCTCCCAATGCTCCAAACTTGTCCAAAGGCAGGAATAAACCCTTATTTTTACACCTTCTTGTGTATGTTAAAACTACTATTGGGCCAAACATAGGTTTTGAGGTACAGATAAGACATTTTAAAAATGCCACCCAAGTGCTGAACTTGGTAAGTCCTTATTCAGGAAATCAGATTTCAGACCCAGCACCCATGCCATGTGTCACAATGCAATTACGACGCTCCTATTTAAGTTACTCCCTAAACAACAGCAGTAACTATCGTTACTTCCTGTCAGTCAGGTCAGGAGACACTGCGTGGGGAGAGGCGGCTGCTAATGAAGAACAGGATCTGTTCCTGGAAGTAACACCGTTAACTGGCCGGAGTGCGAGGCGCTAACACGGACATCCTGGCTGTAACAAAGCCAGAAGAGTTCCAAGTGCCAGTCACTGGGGAGAGCGATATATTTTAACTTCACAGGTCACATTCCATTCCCATAACTTTAAAAAATATATATATGCTTTTATTGATTTTTAAAATATTTTTAGAGAGAGGAGAAGGGAGAGGGACAGAGAGACAATGGAATGAGCTGCTTCCTGTACGTGTCCTACTGGATTGAGCTTGCAACCCTGGCATGTGCCCCCACTGGGAATCCAGCCAGCTACCTGTTGGTGCGTGGGAGGAAGCGCAAACCATTGAGCAACACCGCCCTGGCCAGGGTCCCATCACTTTCCTAAAAAGAAAGGAAGAACTTACGTTGACAAAACACCTCCAGCCTCGTCCACTCGCCGCTGGAAAGGCAGTGCACCACGTTGACCTTCCCAATGATCTTCGCGAAGCCCTCGTTGCAGTAGTAGCCCACCTGGGCCCCGGCGGGGAAGGCCGTGCGGCCCTCCAGCTGGGCCGTGGCGCCCGGCATGTCGGGGGGGAGCCCGCAGTCACCTGGCGACGGAAACGCGAAGCTGAGGCACAGACCGTGTTTCCACGGAGATCATCGTCCCTCCCGGCGAGGGAAGCAGCCTGCCGGTGTCACGTTTCCAGCGGTGCCGCCGGCCTCCAGCCCCGGCAGCGAGCTCAGCGGCGTCAGCGGACAGTGACCCCGGTTTGGGGGCGCTCAGTGCCCCCGCGGGGAGGGGCGCACGGACCCCCGGCGGGGAGGGGCGCACAGATCCGGACGGGAGGGGCGCACGGACCCCGGGCGGGAGGGGCGCACGGACCCCGGGCGGGAGGGGCGCATGGACCCCGGGCGGGAGGGGCGCATGGACCCCGGGCGGGAGGGGCGCACGGACCCGGCGGGGAGCAGCGGGGAGCCGGCAGCAGCTGATCTTGAAGGTGGGGATCGGGGCCGCTAACCGATGCCACACCCCACCTTCCCCGACGGTCACGGAGACCGACCCAGGCCCTGTCCCCCAAACACCCCACCCCTCAGGCCAGGGGTCCCGGCCCCACGCACCCCGCGCGGCGAGCGGGCAGCACAGCAGCAGCGGCAGCAGCAGCGCCGGGGGCAGCCAGCGGGGGGCGCCGCTCCGGGCGGGGCGCATGGCGAGGGCCGGCCGCACGCAGCTTCCGGGGATCGGGTCCGAGTGTCCTGGCCCCGCAATCAGTTACCGGAGGCCGGGCCGGCGGGCAGCCCGGGGCACCGAGGCGGGCGGGGCGCGGGCCGGGGCGGGGCGAGGGCGGGGCGCCGCCTCCCCGCCCGGGACCCGGACTGGGACCGGGAGCCCCGCGCCCCTCCCCGCCCCGGAGACCCCCAGAGTTGGACCGGGAGCCCCGCTCTTGGCCGGGCGCAGGGACAGTTTTTCTTGCTGGGTGGGCGGCTCGGAAAAGTAAAAGATCTGCTTCCAGGTAACAAACACTGGGGGACAGAGCAGAGGCCCGAGGAGCCTGAGAAGAGCAGTGGGTTCCGGGCTTGGGGCGGAGAAGTAGTGCCCTTTTTAAAAAACCCAAATCCCAGCCGCACCTCAGCTGGTTCCCTGAGAATGGCCGGCACCGGTGCGGTGAGTAATCCCCTGTGCCGCCGGCGGAGGACGCTGGTTAAGGCACCGGCACCGGCCACCGCACAGCCCTCAGCCGGCCGGGCCCGCCGGCGCCAAAGGACACCAGAGCCAGGCCCGCTCACAGCAGGCAGGGACCTCAGCGTGTCCCTCAGCCACTCAGTCTGGTCAGCAGAGTCCTGGCCTGGCTTTCCTGTCTGCTCCCCAAACACTACCTGGTGAGTGAAACCCCAGGCTTGGGATTACGCCTCAGTCCCTGGGCCAGCAGTGCGGCTACTTGTTGCCTCCGGTCCCGGTATTCCTCCAGAGTTGCCTCTGGATGGTTCTCTGTGGCCAGTGGGAGCTTTATAAAGAGGAAGCGGCGCTTCCATCAGGAGCGTTTCCTCTGACTCCTGCTGAGCCCTGGGTCGCCGTGCTGGACTGATCCCTTAGGGATTCCAGGAAAGGAACTCCTGTACTCATTCATAAAAACCCGCCAGCATTAAAACACGCCAGAGTATAGAAGTTCGGCTTCTAAATCATCTACTGTGACCCTCACATTTTATATTAAACCACTTACTTTTACTTTCATAAACTATATAATAAAAGCCTAATGTGAACATTGCCCCCTCCACCAGAAGTTCGACCAAGGGGTGGGGCTGGCTGGCCAACCGGGGGGAGGGGGCCCCAGCTGACATCTGGCAGCCAGTAGGGACCTTACCGTGCACTCATTTCGTGCACTGGGCCTCTAGTTTGATATAAAAACATCACGTTTATTAGGGCCCCAGCTGTGCGTCAGAAGTGACACCAGGGCTTCCTTCGTTCTCCCTCAGAGCCCCAGGACCTTGCCCACCACACCCTCTGCCAGGCCAGTATGTCCTTTTTCTGCCTGAGCTCATAGAACTGGTGTGAAAGGCAAGGCAGCATCATGACAAGGAGCCGAAGCCAAGATCAGTCATGGAGCTGCCAGAAGACTTATCTTCCGTGCAGAGTGCCAAAAAATTATCTCTGCCCCCCAGCAGCACTGAGTGCGCTCAGCTTTCACTTTCCAAAACACATACTTCTTGATAATACACTGAGGAAAAAAAAAAAAAGGAGCCCTAACCAGTGTGGCTCAGTGGATAGAGCGTTGGCCTATGGACTGAAAGGCCTCGGGTTCGCTTCCAGGCAAGGGCATGTACCTTGGTTGCGGTCACATCCCCAGTGTGGGGTGTGCAGGAGGAGGCAGCTGATCGATGTTCTCTCTCATTGATGTTTCTAACTCTCTATAAAAAAAAATCAATAAAATATATTTAAGGAACAAAAAGGAACTTTAGGAGAAATAACTGGGTGACTTCTGCCCACCCCCAAAAATTTCAACATTCTGTGGGCAAAAGTATTCACTTACTCAATTCAGAAAAAGTTTCTAGGATGAAAATATATGCATTATTAAGAAACAAACATTAAATATACAAATTTGTAACTTACTAAGGATTATTTTAAATAATGACCTCAAATTATTGTGGTTTCAATCATTTCATATAATACATTTTACCTTTTCACCAACACAACGTCATGAACTGGGAATAATTGCCCACATTTCATTGATGAGGAAACAAGCCAAGAAGTTAATTAACCCAAATCTGGGCGGCTTATTAAGTGACCAGGCCCGAATCTAAATCCAATTCGTTTGATTCCAAACCTACACTGAACCTCTTTTATTCCAGCACTCTGCATTCTTTCTGCTGCAGGCAGTCAGCAAAGGTGTCTTCCGCCTGAGGACACTGAATTGGGTATTTTCGGGGGTTGATTTGGGAAGCAAGCTTGCGTCCCAAATCATTCTTCCTCTGTGTCAACAATACGTATTCCTGAGTCTTCAGACTTATCTACCAGAAGCTAGCTTGCCTTCTAAGCCCAGTCACCCTATCCCTCAGGGTTTCATTTCCACATTGGTTAAGAAAGACTTTAGAACTGAAATAATCTCTGTAGAGCTTTCCAATTCCAAAACGTTAAATTTAGGTTAAACATTTAATAGAAAATAGGTTTATGCTTTTGGCAGAAAAGAGTTAACACAGCTTTCACCCTCTCTCGGGAACCATACAGGGACCACATCGAAGGCTTTTAACAAATGGGAGATCATCTAGCATTATATTAAAAAGCCTAGTAAGGAAGGGGCCAGGACTTGCATTCAGGAATCTCTAATTGTGATATATAAGAAACTGTGATTTTCAGGAAATGTATATTGAGTCATTAAGACAATTTAAATATATTTCTTATATATATTTGGTTTTTGTCCACAATTCCTGGCTCACAGCTCTCAAGAATTCTTGGAATTTTCTAAGCATTGAAACTGAAAAAGTTGTTTTCTTAAAAAAATATTTTAAATATATTTTTATTTATTTCAGAAAGGGAAAGGGAGATAGAAACATCAATGATGAGAGAAGATCATGGATCAGCTGCTTTCTGCATACACCACACTAGAGATTGAGCTTACCACCCAGGCATGTGCCCTACCAGAAATCAAACCATGACCTCCTGGTTCATAGTTCCACACTCAACCACTGCGCCTTGCCCGGTAGGCCTGAAAAGGTTTTGTTTTGTTTTAAATTAATTAATTTATTTATTTTTATTATGTTAAATGAGATGACTTTTGGACTTCACAAAGGAATGGGGGCTGGTTAGCAATGGAACCAACCATGTCAATAGAGGGTTAGAATTTTAAGTCCCACCTGGACCTCCAGGAAAGAGAGATTAGAGGTTAATTACCAATGGCAATTAGTTAATCAGTCAGAACTGCAATGAATCCAACATAAAAACTCAAGTCTGGGTCTGGGAAGGTTCAGGGTTGGTGAGCACGTGTTGGTGCCAGGAGAGTGGTGCATGGGAGAGGGCATGGGAGCTTAACCCTCTGTCCCTCTGCCCCTCTGCCCCCTACTTCATGCATCTCCGCTTCCTGCCTGCTGCTGAGTTATAGCCTCTTACAATCAACCAGTGATCTAATAACTAACAGGCTTCTCTGAGTTCTGTGACCCGATGGCACCCACAGACGGAGTTGTGGGAACCTCTGATTTTGGCCAGTTGATTAGAAGCACAGGTAACACCCACCTGTGGCATTCTCAGTGGAGGATTTGCTGGAACCTCCAATCTGTGGCCGGTGGCCAGAAGCACAGAAGCCCGGGCTTGCTGCTGTCATCTGAGGTGTGTGTGTTTGGAGGGAAGGCCAGTCTTGTAGGACTGAATCCTGAACCAGTGGATTTCGATGCCATCTTTGTCTCTAGGTAGACAGTGTCAGAATGGACCTGACTTCTTGGACACCCTGCTGGTGTGAAATAATTGTTAGTAGTGTGTGTGTGTGTGTGTGTGTGTGTGTGTGTGTGTGTGTTGGGGGAGGGTCTTATAGGACTAAACTCTTAACCTGTGTGATACCATGTTATCTTGGGTAGATAGTGTCAGAGTGCTGAGAATTATGTTGGTGTTGATGTAACACCACCTTCAACCCCCTCCTCCTCTCCTCCATGTAGAAATTGGGTCAGGGAATTTACTTTAATAAATTCTACCAGGGAGGTGGAATAAATGGGATAAATGTTATGGCAATGCCTCCACCAATGTAGTGTGGGTGGGGGTGTTCAGAAAAGAGAGAGAGAAACCTGGCCGATGAGGGTGGAAGAGGCTAATCGGTGGCCTAGTGGCTTGGCTACATAACGACAGACATATCAATGCAATAGGGCAAATAGGAAGAGAAATAAGAATGGTATGGCAAAGGTTTGGGGTCAGGAAAATGTCAGTTGATTTCAAGAAAGGGAAGGGATTACGTGAGGCTGAGCACGGGGGTTTCACGTGAGCGGTGGCAGAGGAGGCTGACAGAGAAGCCTCCACACCAGGCCGTTTTAGTGCGTGGGGGCCGAGGGAGGTTCAGCAGGAAGTAACAGCTTATTTGCCGAGTTGTGTGCAGGGAGAGGCCCTGCACGCAGAGACCCGGAAGTGCCTTTGGCTTTAGTTTTAAAGTGAATAAATCTGTATGAAGGAAGCAGCCTGGCCAGACACCACTCTGAAAGCCATTAGCGTTTCCAGGCGTCTCCTAGAGAAAGCTGGGTGGAGGGACCCGCAGAATGTGGTGACTGATTAGATGAGGAACAGGAAAAGAGCGTAAGGATGACTCAGAGTTTTGGGGCGTGTGAGACGAGGGGCCCTCTTTTGAATGTAGGGAAGAAACAGCAAACATGGCTGCGGGGTTGCTGTTGAGTGAAAGCGGCTCAGCAGGGTGGCTGTGGGAGGTGCACAGATGAGGTGGGAATGTTGGGGGAGACATGGCTGAGAGCGCGGTAACCAAGGGAGAGAGTTAAACAGAAATGCCAAGAGGCCCAGGGGTGAGCCTGGGGACCCCCAAATTAGAGCACAATGAAGGGGAAGGAGAAGGTGGTGGAAAGAGGAGAGGATAATGTGATTTCCTGTAAATCCGTGGATATAAAACTGTGAGCCAAATAGTATTACCCACCGGAAGGGAGGCGACTGGTGTTTAGGAAAACTGTGTAACCAGCCCCACCACGTGGCTTGTGAGGGGTGAGCTGGGGCTTGGATCCTAACCTCTG